GGGCCCTCTGACCACCACCAGTAGGCAACGGGTGAAGTGTCTTGCCCAAGGACACAATGACTGAGAACACTCGAACCAGCAACCTTCCGATTACAAGGCGAACGCCCAACTCTTGAGCCACGATCGCCCCCTATACACGAAATACTACTGACACCAATGGAAATGCTGTTTGCAGGTGTTTCAAACACATTTTTAAGAAGTCAGATTTGTGTCGCCGCTGGAAAAAAACAGTGGCACCGCCATGTCGGCGCCAGATTCCGTGATCATTCATCCAAGAATCATGGAGACAAATCAAGGCATTGTTTTCCCAGGGTTCTGTCACACTAGCAAATAAAAATAGGACCACAACCTTCTTCCAACTAGAAGGTAACCACTTCACAGTGGTTGCCAACTGGTGGGAGGCAACCAGCCACCGAACGATAGTGTTCTAATGCAGGCTTAGTAAATCACATGATAGCGTGGGGCTAGGTTTACAATGGGTTCACCCGAAACCTTGGCTAATTATGACCCACACCCATTTTTGCACCTTGGCACGTGTGATTAGGCAGAGGAACAATAAGAGGTCCACGACCCTCTTAGGGACACTTCCACAGGGCTTAAAAATCTGGGACGCCTCACCCATTACTCTTAGAACTGAAGAAGCCTCTCGGAACGTAAAGAAATCTAGACGCTTTTTTCCCAAGCTCCTTAGACTAATGCATGTTTGCTGTTTAATTTATACATGTAGACAGAATGCCAGCATGTTGAAGTTAGTCTGAGTCGGTTTGATGAGCAACACATTGCTCTGCAATCGAGATCTTGACCCATCTGGTTATATTCTCATATATAAGGTTGCCCAATGTCTATCAGGGGTGGGTAACTCCAGGCCTCGAGTGCAGGTGTCCTGCAGGTTTTAGATATCACCGTGAGTCAACACAGCTGAATCACATGATTAGGTCATTACCAGGCCTCTGAAGAAGTTCAAGACATGTTGAGGTGGACCTTTCGTAATTTGAATCAGCTGTGTTGGATCAAGGACACATCTAAAACCTGCAGGACACCGGCACTCGAGGCCTGGAGTTGCCTAACCCTGGTCTATATCATTTTGCAGTTAAACTGCCGTCCTGTAGTGACGACGTCACTGTTTGTGGAGGATTTTATGAATCTTTTTGAATGTCTGCACAGTCTTAATTGACCTCAGATCAGCAGGCAGAATAGGAATGCAAGCACAGATCTGATCCAGGAACAGTTAAAAGGTCTGCGCCTTATAAACAGTGAGCACTGATCATTTCTGTGCATGTAGATGACAAGAAATTAGCGATTTCCTGCAATTTATCACAGTCAATTCTGACTTGACCCCATTTACTCACGAAGTAGTAGCAAACGGATTCCATTTTCTCACCATATTGATGCACCAAAGTTGATTTAAAGGCAACCTGGTCCCTGTTTTCCAAGCAACCATTTCAAAGCCAACAAGACAGCAAATGGAAAGACCGGCTTAGGCATTTAGAGCCTCTCCTCTGACATCACCAAGGTGGACGTTATTCCCCATTTACTTTGCTTAAGCTCCAAGCAGGACGTTAGCTCTTCATCAATATTATTATTAAGTCAAATGATCAGTAAGCACTCAGACAAAATTAAAACTCCAGCTGCTTCGAGAGTCCGCCTTCTGCCCCTGCAGCTCAGTCCCTGTAGGTGTTAATGAACAACTGCAAAGCGGAAGGCAACTTAATGGAAAAGTGCAACGTTAAAGCAACTTGGAGGAAACACAGATTAGATGTCTGAGCACCAGCTGTTCAGTAAGACAGACCGGCGGCTCACAAAACTCAAACTACAAAGAAGTTTAGAGATCAGAACATGTTTTACTAAGAAGACTTTCTGAAAATGAACTGCATATA